CAACTATCTACTGGGGCTTTGGGGGTAAAAAAAAAAAAGGAGGAGGATTGGCAATAGATGTTAGCTCAGAGCCGGTCTTCCTCAGCAAAAAGAGGATGATTAGCATGGATGTTAGCTCAGGGCTGATCTTCCTCAAGGAAAAAAAAAAAAAGTTGATATTGGAAATAAAGAGAGAAAACATTTAAAAAGAAACAAACAAACAAAAACAATTAGATCATCAAATTTACTCGGTTGAATTTTTGTTCTTTAACATCATGCATATTTTCACCTGCTTAAAAGTATAGTGCATGTACAATTTTATACTCAGCTTTTACTTTATTATTTTATATAGTTTTACTTATTTTACTATAGAGTTCATATTCTCTAATCTTTTTCAATATTCATTAATCTTACTGGCTGCGTAACAGTCAACCAAGTGAGATTTCCATTCCTTATTTCAATACTCTCCTACTGTGAATAGTAATTAACAATGGTGTGTTGTTAGCACAGGGATAGAAGATTCATAGACAGGATGGAACCACAGATGTTATGATTTAGTCTCTAATAAATGGTATGTTTCAAATAAGTGAGAAAAAGATGAACCAGTCTATAGGCTGGGCCCGGAGAACTGTCTCTCCCATTAGTAAAGGAACAAACTTAGACTGATACCTCAAAGCAGTCACCACAATAAAAACAAAGAGAATAGCCTTATAAATGTGGAGTAAACACAAATTATACAAGGAAAAAAAAAAAGATGAAAATGTCTCTGTGATAATTTGTTGTTAGTGCCGTTGGGTGGATTCTGATTCCCAGCAACTCCGTACAGCAGAGCGGAACCCTGCCTGGGCTTTTTGCATCATCCTCTCACCTTCCAGTGCTGTATCAGACAACGCTGTGCTGTTATTCATAGGGTTGTCACGGCCAATTTTTTGGAAGAGGGTGATCTGGTTCCTTCACCTAGCCTGTCTTAGTCTGGAAGCTCCGCTGAAACCTGTCCACCATGGGTGACCCTGCTGGTATTTGAAATACCGGTGGCATAGCTTCCAGCATCACAGCAACATGCAGCCGCCACAGTGTGACAATCAACAGACAGGTGGTGTGGTTCCCTGACCAGGAAACAAACCCAGGCCATGGTGGTGAGAGCACCTTGAATCTTAACCACTAAACCACTACTCTGACAATTATATAAATAACATTAATATAAATAACATTAAATAAATAAATAACATTAAAGGACAAGGGACACACTGGGAGAAAATATTTGCAACATAGAATGATTGAGCAGTTCATGGAAGAAATATAAACGTCCAAATATCCAAAATATGAAGAGTTCTTAACATCACTTGTAATCAGAGGAAATCAAATTAAAACAGAGTGTATAGTATAAAAATGAAAAACCCACACCCCTGTGAACCCAGCAGTGTGACATGGGGATATATGCCCACGTTTGCACCACAGCAATGTTACTGGGGAAAACTAGAAACCACCTGGTACTGGAATAGTTAAATAAACTATGGAATATTCATGAATGGAATATTATGCAGTAGTTAAAAAGAATGAGGGAGATCTAAATATACTGATCTAAGAGCCTCCAAAATATAGTATTGAGCAAAACAGCAAGCTGTAAAACAATATGTAGACTATGATACCATTTGATTATAAAATCTCTATGTAAAACAAAATAGCTATTTCTACATGTACATACTTATGTATGTAAATGAGGAGAAAAAAGATCTGGAGAAAAAAGATTTGGAGAGAAGTACAACAAATCCAAAACTGTGGTTACTTCAGAAGAGGGGCCTAGAAGTGGGGACACTACAGGTGGTGAGGGGACATTTTAGCTTTGTCTGTAATGTTTGAATTTTTAATAAGAAAATATTCATGTATTTCTTATGTAATTTGAAAAACTGCCCAATTATTGATCTTTTAGGTGATTTTTATGATTTCGCCATTAGAAATAAAAGACTGTAATAAGCACATTTGCATGTTTAATTTTTATCTATTTCCTCAGGATAAAGTCCCAGAGCTGATTGTTACGTGAAAGATAGGAATATGTTTTCAATTATTTAGAATAGATTACCAGATTACTTTATAAAAGACTCTTTTCACTTTATAGTCATTTCCAGAAGGCTCTACACTATGAATCCCTGGAGATCACTTTTTACTGATTTGCTTTTTAATTTCATTCATTCTGCTTTTATAGAAAGCCATCAAATTAGGAAGGAGCCTGCGCAAGGCGGTGCTGCCTTTGCAGTTCAAGGGTGTTGCCGACGCATCCATCAGGTCCCTCAGCCTCCCTGCCTGCAGCGTCAGCGAGTAAGTTCAATGCCAGCTGGGAAAGCTCTGTTTCCCAAGAGGGTCTGCTAGGCTTCTTCCTTCCTGGTAACAAGAACCATCTCATTAATGGAATTGCTCTCTTTGAACTGGCTGCCAGGGAGCTCAGTGCCAAATTAGAAGCATAATTAGGAAAATGTCTAATAGTTGTTTTATCTGCTGACTCCTTTCTTTAGTTCTTATTGTCTATTTCTAGGTAAATTTTACCATGATGGCTAATAGTGCTTCAATCAGAGAGATGTCATGTCCAGCACTGGAGTATATATCCTAACGTTGTTTTTTTTTTTTTTAATAATTTTATTTATTTATTTATTTTTCCCCAAAGCCCCAGTAGATAGTTGTAAGTCGTAGTTGCACATCCTTCTAGTTGCTGTATGTGGGACGCGGCCTCAGCATGGCCGGAGAAGCGGTGTGTCGGTGCGCACCCGGGATCCAAACCCGGGCCGCCAGCAGCGGAGCGCGCGCACTTAACCGCTAAGCCACGGGGCTGGCCCCTAATGTTGTTAACTTAACTATGATTTGATTTAGAAGATGGTTAGGTTTTCAATCTCCTAGCCCCCCATTCAGCCCATTTCTTACTGTCCTTTAAAACTCATCTTCACTGTTTTGACCCCACCTAAGGAATGTTTTCCTAGGTGGCTTCTGCAGGCAAAGCAGGATGGAAATGTGCAGGCTTCCCGTCTCACGGATGGGGTGCTTTAAATGTAAATGTCCCCTATTAAAATTCGTCAATCTACAGAGAGACAAGGTAGAGTTTTACTCAGTGTCTTCTATGTGCTTTGACAAGTTGCCTTATCCCACCCTCACTACAGAGAGGTGGGGCAGGTGTGGTAGTTGCCACTTTACAGGTGAAAGAGGAGACCACGAGGAGGTTCAAATTCACTGCTTACAGTCACTCAGCTAACAGAGGGCAGATCTGTGGTTTGGACCCAGTTTCCTGCCGCAAAAGAGTCCTGTATTGTTTCTACAACACTTCAGATGTTTCCTTCATGTAAAAAACGTTTGGGCCTGAGGTTTAAAAAGACCCCTCCCACAAAAAAGAAAAGCTCTTACTATTTGAGAGTTATGGACCTGGAAACCTTTGAAGGGATTAGGTTATTGATGGAAGTTTCATAAAGGCCCCTAATCATTTTTGGGGTACTTATAGATAGAGATTTCTTACTTTAAAATGAAAATGGGCTCCACGGGAAGAAGTCAGAGGCCACAATACATGTCAATTCCACCGGGACAAATTTAAGACTCACAGATCACGAGTTACACAACAACAACAAAAAACAAAGTCAGCATTTAGTTAAGGGCTCTGGTGGCTTCTGGAGGTTGTAAAAGCTGAGGAAGAAGCAGTGTGACGGCTTCCGCAACCAGCAGTGACCTGGAGCAGCCAACAGAAGCACCTGGTGCGCAGCGCTGGAAACTCCGTCTACCTTATCTGAGTCATGATAACCCAGAAACCCACGGGTTTTGAAGATACACTAGGCCGTTTGGTATTTTCAGCACAAGTAAACACCTGGGCTGGCTGGGTGCCTCTGAGGGCTGCCTCCACCCTGGCCGAGGCTCTGGCTTTCCACGGTTGCTGTGTCAGCCACCCTCTGTGGCTTGAGGAGGCCTCCTGGCTCTGCCTCTGCTCTTATTTCCGATGCTCTTCCAAAGGTGGAGGAGGCTGCATAAAGCAGCAGGCTAGCAGTCTGCTCCTGCTAAAGGGAATAATGTCGATAGGTAGACTACTATTAACTCACCTGATCATTATCAGCAGGGCCACTTGAACCTTTTAGAAACAACATTATAGAAAGAGAAACAGGCTGCACAGGACAATAGAAAAGCCCTCTCTCTGCTATGACTATTAGATGAAACTCCAAGAGGACCAAAATTATTTTTTATATCTCCAGGTAATGAAGTGGTAATAACACCCATAATAATTTATGACGTGGTAGTATTGTACTATCCAAAAAGAAGAGAGTGCATTCTGGAGCACTTAAAAACAAGATTTGTTCGGTAGAGATGAACGTGAATCGAGCTCTCAAACATCACATTTTAGGCAGCATAAGCCACCAGTGCTCACACATACGGTCACAGCCGGCCAGATCAGCCATTCCTCAGGCCCTGGGCAACTCGTACATTACTCATCTTAAGACACAGGATGCTTGTGGTCAAGCCATGAAAAGATATTCCCTGCAGGAGTCCTCTGGGTCTAGTTTGAGCTTATATGCTATTTTCCACCAAAGTAGAGAGAGGGTTGATAGAAGGGTTTTTTTGGGCAGACAATTAGGTTCAAGGTAACATCTGCCTGCTGCCCACATTCAGAAATTGTTTTTTTGCAGCCTGGACCCACTACGGTCAGATCCTGCTGTGGATGATGAGGGGTCTGGGCTGGCTGGGTGCCTCTGAGGGCTGCCTCCGCCCTTGCTGAGGCTCTGGCTTTCCATGGTTGTTGTGACAGCCACCCTCTGTGGCTTGAGGAGGCCTCCTGGCTCTGCCTCTGCTCTTGTTTCTGATGCGCTTCCCCTCATCTGACTTCTGCAGCAGCCACTCTCTGGGAGCCCCCACTGCGTCCTAGCTGCCTTGCCCCTTCTGATGGGCTATGCCTTTGGATGGTGCATCTGGCTCTCGAGCCACTTTGGACAAGAGGCTGCCTCCTGAGATTAGTGCAGTAGGGTTTATGGAGGGCCTGAAATGTGCCAGAAACTGTGGTGGGTGTAAGAAGATAGAGGAATAAGACAAGGCTCCTGGTTGGAAGGAGTTTAGTGAGACAGGCATGCAGATGGATAAATAGAACATGGCATGTGATGAATGCAAACCATTCATATGTGCACTCTCGGGGTAGTGGCTTTGGTCTGAGCAGTGTTTCTTACTGCTGGGGATAAAGGAAGGTCAAGTTAGGGGCAAGAGGCCCTGGCCTGGGCTCAGGGAGGTACAGCAGGAGGAGGGGACCAGCATTCTTGGGAGAAGCAAGGACAGAGGTTCCCACTCAGGGGACTCAGTCTCTTGAAGCCTCCCCCAACCCTCCAGCTTCTTCTTTCTCATCTCCAAGGCTAAGAAAGAGCAGAAATAGCACCTAGAACCCCTTCCTGTGGCGGTGAGGGGCACATACTGTCCGGGGCCTCCCGGGTAGCTTGAGAAGGGCCAGGCTCGGCCACGAGTCTCCTCTTGGTTTTCCTCCCAGCCTGAGGTGCGCTCCCTGCCTCGAACCCCACCACACACCATTGAAAATCCTCCTGAGAAGTGAACTCCTGCGTCCTACAAGTCTCCTATCTCTTTTGGGCCATAATCTAATCTCTAAGGACAACTGCTATGTCTTTTCAACCCTGTGTCCCTTCCTTGACCTAGAACACTGCAGGATAACATTTAAAGAGTGCTTACCACCTTCCAGGCACTACCTCATTTCATCTTCACACACCCCTACGGCGGCAGTCCTACCATCTCTATTTTAAGATGAGGAACTGAGTCACACAGACGTTAAGGGACTTGCCCATGGTCATACAGTAAGTAGGGGAACCAGCAGTTAAATCCACGCAGGCCAGCTCCAGAGTAGGTGCCCTGAACCCCTGGGCTATGCTGCCACCAAAACAGGCTGCCCACACATATTTATCGAATGAAGGATAGTTAAGACTGGATCGGACAAATGTGTGGGTGCACAGGACTGGCTGCCTTGGGTAATCCCTTGAAATTTAGGGTCCATGTCAGGGTTCAAAGGATCGAGATGGAGTTGTCCAGAAATCGGAGCTCTCAGGGAGTCCAGTTTAGCCTAATTTTACCCCAAAGATATTCTTGCTGGCCAAGTCCACTCACTCCTCTAGAAAAATGCAAACCCTACTTTATGTTCAGCCTTGACATTGCTAAATATCTCTAAACTGCAGTTAATCACTCTTTATTTACCTCAGAACTAAAGCCATACCCTTCTTGATGCTGGTTATAGCATGTTGAACAATTTGATTAGTTTTAGAAATCAACCCAGCTGATGTTACAGGAAGCAGAATTAATCAGCAGCACTTTGCCATGACTGAGAAGATAAATAAATCCCTCCGTCTTCTCAAACTCAAGCCTACTCTATTTCCAAATCCTTTCACGGCTGTCTTCAACACTCTGATGATAAACTTGTGACAGTGGAATCATAATGATGTGTCAATGGACACACACAGGCAAACACAGATATGTATAAAGTTATGCCTTCTACGTGGTTATTGTGAATGAGAAGGACTGTGGGTGGAGCTGCAGCTTCCTGAGGAGCCTGGTTCCACGTGGGCACCGAGAGGGCATTCCCGAGGGAGCTCCAGCTGGGCAACCCCTCGAGTGGACCCCACACGGTCACTTCTCAGATGTTTATACGCCCTCAAAAATAAACAGCACTTAGGGGGCCAGCCCGGTGGCTTAGCGGTTAAGTGCGTGTGCTCCGCTGCTGGAGGCCTGGGTTCGGATCCGGGCGTGCACCAACGCACCGCTTCTGCGGCCATGCTGAGGCTACATCCCACATACAGCAACTAGCAGGCTGTGCAACCATGACATGCAGCTATCTACTGGGGCTTTGGGGAAAAGAAGGAGGAGGATTGGCAATAGATGTTAGCTCAGAGCCAGTCTTCCTCAGCAAAAAAAAGAGGAGGATTGGCATGGGTGTTAGCTCAGGGCTGATCTTCCTCACAAATAAAAATAAAATAAAATAAAGGACTCCATAAAAATAAGCCACAGTTTAAAAAATAAAAAAATAAAAAAAATAAACAGCACATCATTTCTCACTGCCACTTAATTTTTCTGCCTAGTTCTGCCTACTTCCCGAAAGTAAAAAATAATAAAAACAAGGACGAAAATCAGCCCTCTGGACAGGACCCATCCTCGGCACACATTAGAGATTTCTGGTTCCAGATCACTTGTCACAACTCACAGACTCCAGCTCATAGATGACTCCCAGGAACAGCCACTCTGAACTCATCTTGGACCTTTTATCTCAAGATCCACACCACTCCCCTCGCTGAGGAAAGCGAGGCACGCAGGGAGCATGTTGAAGGAGGCGCTTGCCCTCAAGGGCTGATCTTGTACTTACACGACCTGAGGGTGAGTGCCTCCGTAAGACTGCCACCTCAGAGTGGGTGCCTCCTTAAATGTTGTGCCCTGGACACATCGCCTCAGCGTACTCCTGGCCCTGATGACCCTTCTCTAGGTCAATGGCATCTCAGTAACTGTATGTGGAATGATGTGCAATCTAACTCTCATCAACCCACCAGGGGTTCAGTAGGGTCCAGAGCACCAGCTCTGGGTTCTGAGCTTGCTCTGCTCCTGACAAGCTGTGTCATGTTGGGCTAGTTCCATAGCCTCTCTGAGTCTTCTGGTTTCTCATCAGGAAATGAAGATAATTCCCGCCTCCCTTACAAGGTTGTAATAAGGATTAGCTGACACCATGTAAGTGGTGTACTTAGGGCAGGGCTTTGCACGCAGAGTGTGTGCCCATGGTATGGGGCACTCAGCTAATAACAGTGTTGGTTATTATCATTGATGATGACATCCCGATTCACATGGTAGGGTCAAGACACGAGATCTAGAAGGTAACCTTCTAACACTTTCATTAACAACAACTTAGTACCCTAAATGCAAGATTGTGTTTGCTTTTTATCGTGCTGAAATAGAACGACATGCCAGGCGTTCACCAATGAGTCTGTCTCACTGCCTAGCAACGCACTTCCTGAAACTCTCAGAGTGCAGAGTCCAAGGGTTCCAGAAGACACAGATGAGAAATAGGAAGGGAACCTCACCCTAAGCAGACTACCCAGGAAGGAAGGAAAGTGCTGGAGGAGGAGGAGGAAGGAAGGTGGGCTCACTCACTGCTTTCATTTTGTGGGTGTTGGACCAAAACTTGAAACTGCAGCCGGAGGACCCCTGGGTTTTGGGCATCTTGGTCACAGCCCTGCAGAGAGAGGTTGAAGTTCCCGGCCATGTTCCCGGGCTGCTTGTCCTTCAGACTGAACACCTCGGGGTTGGTGGTGGAGCCCGGGATGTAGTACTCGACCCGCTCCTCCTTCTTTTCACAGTTGGAGTTGTTGAAGTTGAGGAAGGAGACGCTCGCCCGCAGGTGCGCGGGAATGACAAACTGCCATGTCATGAGCTCGTCCTCGGGGAAGCCATCCGGGTAGTTGGCAGACATCAGGGTTGCTGAGCCTTCGCCCTCAAACACAGACTCGATGATGCACAGCCCTATTGGGAGTGGAACCCAAACAAGAAAGAATAGGAGGCAATTAGACCCCATCCTGGTGGTCCATGGCTGAAGGGCAGGGGGTTAGAGGAGAAGTGAAGGTGAGTCTCAGGTCCTGAGCAGTGGGTCTGGATATGCTATGATGAGGAGACATCAGTGGTGTGCAAGTAAACATTTAATAACCAACTCAGTGGGGAAGAACAAAAGGCCCTACTTGTAGTGTCTGCCCACTTCATTGGTGTAAATACTCCCACCGTGGCTGACTTCAAGCTACCAACGTGAGATGACTGAATGTGGAGTTGGGAAGAGCTGGGCAGCAGCTCACCATCATACAGTACTTCCACCTACAGATACAATCGACATAAATAATTTCAAGAGCATGGATAATAGTAAAATGCAGTAAAATAATTTGGATATGATGAGATTTTGAGTATATTACCTTTGTTTCTAAATTGGTTTATTGAATTTTAAGTTTATATAACTTTATTTTTATTAATGGCTCTGTTCAACATCAGCTCACAACATTCCTGAACAATCAGCTCTCATGAGCTGGTGTGAGCCGGCCCTAGCACACCAATGATACAATGATAGAAAATGTGGAAGAGATAGAAGACAGGACAAAGAAATCAGAAACAGCAATTTAGGTAGGTCTATAGAATCAATCTCATTTCATTTCTTGAAAACAAACCTCACATGCACAGAGGACGAAGGAAAGAGAGTCACCACTGGTGTGTTTAGTAGAGAAGGGCGGGTTCACAACAGGAGTGAGTGGCCCCCATCGCTTACAGAAGAGTGGGATCCTCCTTTAAGGTACTCAGGTCGAATCATACAAAATTGCCGACATCTGCCCATTTCCGACCTAGAACAGCGGTGATTTTGTATGTTTCAACCTCATCCAATAGCAGGGAGGGAGTGGTGTGCTCACGTTTTATAGACGACCGGTTTGCGATGCTGAAGCCAGAGATGTTTCTGTGGTGGAACCACGGCAGGTGTAAGGCCATTCTCACTCCCTCTTGCATCTTGATCCGGGACACAGTGCCATTGCTGCAGAAGGTTCCAATCCTGACCTCGGTGGCATCGATGCGGCCGCTGATGGAGTGCGTGACTCCGTCTGGGCAGCTCTCCCCAGGCCCGATCTGCCTCAGGCGAGGCTTGGAGAACTGCAGCTCTAGACCAATGCTCTTGTGAGCGGTGACGTCCCAGATGAAAGTCCTGTTGAGAGCGGGCAGCCCCGACGGTGAGGGTTGAAGTCGAACCTCCCCAAAAGGACACGGGCCTGACATGCAGTCTGAAACAGTCACAAAAGCAATCTTAGTCACAAACGCTACCAGGCCACCTACAGCTCCTCCTCAGCCCTGTAGTAGACTCTTTGGGGGCTCCACCAGGCAGTGCACCCATCCCCTGGTCGCCTGAGTGTTGGTGGCCAATGGCTCATCCTTCTCTGGGGCAGTGCCTCAGCTAGGGGAGCGGCCTTGGACTAGAAAAGCCTGAGAGGTTTCGCTGCCCCGTCACTCCCATCCCAAGGGGGAGCAGCAGCCTGCAGCTGTCACTGCCCAGTGCAGGAATGAAAAAGCCTGCCCTCCTTCCTTCAAGTGACACAACCTGGTGACACCACTCACATGCCAGCATCAGCCTGAGGCTACAATTCAGCTAAAACCATAGCTTTGCTTACTTCTTCCCTTGCGCTATCCTGCTTTTCTCACCTCTTCGTAGGTTACTTCCAAGACAAATGACAAACAAACATCCCCGTGTCAGTCTCTGCTTCCGGGGAAACAGACCAAGACACCTCCTGACCACTGTGTTTTCCAGATTAAGTTACTGGTGTCCAGGTGGTGGGCTCTGCCCAGGCCTCACTGGAAGCCCAAGGGTGGCCCTCTGCAGTGGAGCCTGTGCTTGGGCTATCCGACTTCCCTATTCCGAGGAAGCTACGGTTTCACAACTCTTAGAGCACAGTGCCAAGCTCCACCTTTCAAAACTAGTTTTCTCATCAACACACTCCTCCACATACTGAGCACACTCTGAGTGCACAACCCCCTTAACGGCTGGGACCCGGAGGCACCGTTGTCTTCCTGCCTCGTGACTTTAATGCTGGCGCTTTATTACCACTGCAGTTAAATTTTTTTTTTAAGGCAAACAACTAATGACGTCCTTTGATGTACTTTGTTTCCTAAGCCTTTTAAAACAAAGCGAGAATCGTTGCTGTCAAGGAGGAAATAAGAGGAAGGCAGCGGGAAGAAGTAAGAGAAAGCAGGCAACGAACAGTAAGGCTCTTGTGGCCTCCAGCACCAGGAATCCGAAAGGTCTGTGGGCTCTGGCCATGCTAATGATAATTTGCGAACCTTACTGCTGCTCCAGTGGGGTATTTGAAAGCACTGCCAACTCGAAGTGGAATTATGGGAGAATTTCAGAACTATCCAGGACCTCTGGGGTCATCCACGCTAAACCTCTAATTTTTGCAAAGCAGCCCTGGGGTCTTGGTGACGAGTGTGGTGCTTGCAGTGCACACAATCCCAGGACAAAAACCCTGGCTGTGTTTGGTCAACCCGCACTCTTGCCAACGCGCTGCGCTGCCTAACCGATAAAATGGTTAGATAACAAGGTGATGAATGTGGCTAAAATTAGATCCTGTGTGTCAGTAAAGATAGTATCTATTTTTAGGAGCTCATGGAAACTTCATTGTTTATATCAAGCCACATAGCTTTCATAGCTTTTCACCCACACCTCCCGTGTGCCCAGGGCCACGTGGAGTGGCTCCTGCTGGGTCCTGCACTCTTGTGGGATCACTTAACTCTATTAAGGCAGTGGTTCTCAGCCCTGGTTCCACACCAAACTCACCTAGAGAACTCTCAAAAAATACACATGCCTGGGTACCTGAGTGATTCTGATTTAATTCCATACCAAGAACCTGGAGTCAAAAAGCCCCATCTCCTAGCCATGGCTCTGCTACCAGCCATGTGACGTGGGGAGAGTCAAATGTGCAAGCACTTTTTAATTCGTTGCTATGAGCTTTGGTTTTAGGATGGACACATAGTAAGAGGAGTCCAATGATGGGCATGCCTCCAAGTCTTCAGCCGTTCCCTGTCCGTGCAAAGATGTTAAATAGCTAAAATGATTCCTAGCCAGGGGATGGAGAAGAGTCATTTCAGAAGTGATTCACAACTTGTTTTCCTCAGCACAGACTTCTACTTCCATTGACTTTCATGGGACTATTCAAAAAGCGATGATGACAGAGGTGTCAAACCTGGAAACTTTCAGAATGCCTATTCAGGAAAGGTTTTAAAAACGAGGGGCAGGCAGGGGCTGGCCCGGTGGCGTAGTGATTAAGTTTGCAAGCTCCGCTTTGGTGGCCCGAGGTTTGCAGTTTCGGATCCCGGGCGCAGACCTATGCACTACATATCAAGCCATGCTGTGGCAGCGTCCCACATATAAAGTAGAGGAACATGGGCACAGATGTTAGCCCAGGGCCAGACTTCCTCAGCAAAAAGAGGAGGATTGGCAACAGATGTTAGATCAGGCCTAATCTTCCTCATCAAAAAACAACAACAAGGGCCGGCCCTGTGGCTTGGTGGTTAAGTGCACACGCTCTGATGCTGGTGGCCCAGGTTCGGATCCCAGGCGCGCACCGAGGCACCACTTCTCCGTCCATCCTGAGGCCGAGTCCCACATACAGCAACTGGAAGGATGTGCAGCTGTGACATACAACTGTCTACTGGGGCTTTGGGGGGAAAAATAAATAAATAAAATCTTAAAAAAAAAAAAAAAACAACAACAACAACAAAAAAACTGAGGGGCAGGCAGAACTCTGGACTTGATTCCAGTGTCTAGCTTTATTATCTTAGAAGTTAATATTTTCATAAATGATATGAGTTGTGAATCACTTCAGAAATGACACTGTTTTTTGAAAACCATGGGTTTTTACTATAGAGTAAACTGTGTGTGGCATCCTAGGACTGAGAGCCTTGTCTTGTGAGATGTGTCATTGGTTACCTTTTTCTTTTTTCAAAATGGTACTTTATTGGCTTAATTGATTATAAAACTAATGCATGCTTATAAAAAAATGACAGTATAGAAGAACAGAAAGAAGAAAATGAATGTTACCTGTTCCCCTCCCTCACTTGCGATAGAAATAATATAAGGTTAGCATGTTAGGGTTTATTCCTCCAGACTTTGGGCTCTGTATGATTGTGTGTGCATTTGTGTATATTTAATAAAGTGGGATTGAACTATACCAACTATTCTCCTACTATAAGCTGTATTGTTTTCAGTGGAACAAAACTATCCGGGGCATCTTTCCATGTCAGATACACAGATTTACTTTATTTTTTTAACAGCAACACACCATTCTATTGGATTCTTAAGTATATCCATACTCTCCCCAGCTCTGCAAAAGCTTCATTGAGATTTTAATTGTAATTAACTTAAACTGATAAATTAATTTGGGGGAGAATTGACACTTTTAAAATACTGAGATTTTCATCAGTTAACATGGTATATCTCTCCATTTCTTTACATTTTCTCTTTTGTCTTTAGTAAAATTTTATATTTTGCTTCATATACAGTTGATGAACTTATTAAGATTATCCCTTAACATTTAATTAGAACTTCTGAATAATGGTGACCAAGAGCATGCATGCATAATGGGAATCCTATGTGGTTCCCTGTTTTATTAGCAATGCTTCCAAGTCTGACTGTTGAATACGATATTTGCTATCAGTTTTTGATAGAAACACTTTACTGGATTGAGAAAATATTTCTCCATTTCTGGTTTACTAAGAGTGTTTTATTAAAAACATTTAAAGTCATCCATTACGATGATCATATGTAGCTTTTTCTCTCTAACCTAATAATGCAAACATTACATTACCCTATTTGCTAGTGGTGAACTATCCTTACATTCTTCCAGCAAACCCTCCCTCTTGTTTCTTTAGTCTTTTAATGCATTTTTTGGATTTGATATACTTATATTTTATTTAGGATTGTTTTGCATGTATATTCATAAGAGATTGGCCTATGGTTTTCTTTTTTATGCTTTGGCAGATTTTGACAACAGGGTTGTAAGGGCCTTATAAAATGAACTGTGAAATTTCCTCTTTCTATGCTCTAGAATGGGAGTCAGCAAACCACAGCTCATGGACCAAATCCAGCCAAACACCTGCTATTGTGAATTAACACGTGGGACATCATTGCCCATTTGTTTACCTGTTGTCTATGGCTGATTTTATGTTCTAACAGCAGAGTTGAGCAGTTGTGACAGGGACCGTCTGGCTTACATCTAAGATATTTACTATCTGGCCTTTTACAGAAAAAGTTTGCCAATCTTCCTCTAGAATGGTTTAAATATCATAGAAATTATATTCTCCTTGAAGTTTTATAGGATCCTCTTTGAAACTGTCTCTAACTAAACCAAACCCTGCTCTCCTCCATCTTGGACATTTTTTCCAATCTCCTCCTTGGTGATTTATTTAGTTAGGTTTTCTATCTTTCTATGAGTCAATCCAGTCCATTAAGTTTTCCCTGGAAATCATCTATTTCATTGAGATTTTCACATTTATTATCATAATGTTGTACATAGTCTCTTACAGTTTTAGAAATCACCATTGTATATGTCATTATATCCACATTTATACTTTCAATGCTGTATATTTGTATTTTCTCTTTCTTTTCTCCAGGAGACTAGTCAGAGGTTTGTCTGTTTAATAGGTCTTTATAGAGAACCAGGTCTTGGCTTTAGTTATCAGACATAGTTTTAAAAATTGCTTTTACATACTTTAATTTCTCCTTTTATTTTTCTGAATTCCTTCTTCCTATGGTTTATTTTATCCTTTTTCTTGCTTCTTGAGCTATTGCCCGATTCATTTATTTTCAGTTAAAGGTGAAGAAATTTTCTGAGTATGGCTTCGACTGGATCAAAATAGTGCTCCCCATGTTGTTACTACATCTATTAGTTCCTAGTTGGCATGCCCAACTTAAAGTGATTGGGAAATTATACATTTAATTCTTTCTGCCTGATTATTATTTCTTATATCACTCTCCTACCCTGAGCTCAAATTATGAATAATAGTAATACCCAATATCTATAGTTTGTTGAGTTCTTATGTGCCATACACTATCAATCCATTATTTTATTTCATCCACATAACAGCTCTATTGGTTGGTACAATCACTCTTATTGTACAGGCTAGAAAACTAAGTCACAAAGCAGTTCAGTCACTCACATGAAGCCCCGTGATCAGGTCACATGTTCAGTAGCCCTGGAGCTTGAAGCCAAACCCAGCTCCCTCAGCCTCCAAAGCTGCTGTTTTCTCCACTGTGCCTTGTGGACCCACTTCCCACTTATCTCCTCAAACTTCCAATTCTTCTGTCCTCCAGCTCCTTTGAGTTTTGCTCCTCATCAGCCTGATGTTTTCAGCACATCAGACTGAGCATCACAGACCTGAAGAACCGCAGCTCCGTTAAGAGGCAGTGTTGCATAGTGGTTACAGGCAAAGACTCTGGAGCCAGAGTGCCTGGGTTCCTGTCCTGCTGCTACTTACTAGCTGTGCCACCCGAGGCAAGTCACTCTGGTTGTGAACTTCTCATAGGGCTGTTTTGAGGATTAAACAATTTAACCCATGTAAAGCACTTAGAACCGTGACTGGCCACATAAGAGCTAAGCAGAGCGCACAGTTTCAGAACAGATCTTACCTCTCTAGCATTAGAGGCTGTTAGTACAGGAAAGAGAGGCTGGGAGGCCCAACAGTCCACGAGTGCATACTTACCAACATTCTTCTGGATCTCTACCACAAAGTGATTCTCTGGATTCTGGCAGCTAAAGGAAAAGACTGTTGTTTCTCCAGATTTGATGGACAACATGGTCATAGGTTTTCTAGAAATGATGATGTAACAGGGTTTTGCTGGCAGAGTTGGGGTCCCGGGCTTTATGACAACTGTAATGCCGCTTCCACGTGGCACAGCGATCTCAGAAGCTTCTGAAGGAAGAAAAATGAAGTGAGCAGGAGGATTCAGGTCTGCAAACCTGCTGTCCTCCCCTCAGTTGGTCCAGGAAGATGCCCTCTTTGACACCTTTGTTCCTTCCCCCCTTGTCTGAGAAGGGGGATGATGCAAAATGATGGTGCTGTCCTTACCAGTGGGAAAGAACTGGGCCATTGTGGGCTGGGCACTGACATGCATCTCTTGTTTGGCTTATTAATTTTTCTAAAAATTAAAATCACTATACCACATCCTAGATGTCTTGAGCAGTATATTTTCAGATACCCCATCTGTGCAGTATTAAATAACAATCAGAGAAAATGTCACACCTTTTCTCAGTATGACTGCAGATGAAAGTCCACACACAGAAACCATCTATCTGTAGAGAGACATGTTTACCCGCAAAGAGCTGCTGTCTCCTGCCCTGGGCACTTCATACGCCCAGTATGTACATATACGCAGTAGGGGACACTAGGGAAACTTGCAGAAATTAGATATAAATATATTGTGCAACGAACTTGGAAAGTTAGAGCAAAACAGTGCTAACACCTCAGACTGGGGTTCAGCAAAATTGCCTGAACAAACAATACCAAGCAAGGGAGATGGTGTTGGTTAGTAAACAGAGGTGTCAGGATGGTGCCCAGAATCACCAATGAGCCCAACTCCTTCCCAATCCCTTTGCTTTATTGATTTTTAAGTCCTCCCGGACTAAAAAGAAGAGCCGCTTTTCTCCTCAGTAGCCACTGCCCCTTCCCTGACTTGGGTCCTGATTGTGGGTCTCTGGGTGGCTGATGGCCTGGGAGCAGTGGATAATGGGACATCTGTAGGTGGGTCCCGCAGAGGGAGCCTAGGGGCTCACAGAGAGGGCTGGAGTTGCTGCCTCTGTCCCACCGTCTTCTGGCACAGAGAGGGTCAGTACCTGCCACGGCGCCTGTGCGTGGAAGGTGCTCAGTGAGTGTTTAGCCAATGAACAGCAGTTTAACCAAAAGCTTTGTTTTCCAGCTATGCTTTTCACCCTCCTTTTTAAAATTTGCTTTTTAAAATCAACTTTATTGAGATATAATTTACACACATTAAAAAAGACCTATTCATTTTAAGAATTTTGATAAATGTGTATACATACGCAACCACCACCACAACTGAGATATCAAAAATTTGCATCACCCCCAAAATTTCCCGTGGTGCCTCTTTGCAGTCAACCTCCACTCCTGGTCCCAGAAAACTATCAATTAGTTTTGCCTGACCTAGACCTTCATATAAATGTACCTGGCTTCTTTGCTCTCATGTTTGTGAGATTCATCCACGTATCACAGGGATCAGTATTTGTTCCTTTTTATTGCTGAGTAGCATTCCATTGTCTGGAGAGCCCGCGATTTACTTATCTATTCACCGGTTGAGTGGTATTTGAGTTCTTCCCAGTTTTTAGCCAGCTTTAATTTTACCAGGACTGCGAGCCTGCACGAGAGCTGTAGCACTTCCCCTCCCACACAGTATACAAGCGCGCCTGTATCCCACACCCCAGCGGTGTGTGATCAAACGTCTGGATTTTGTCAACCTCTTCTGGTACCTCTCTCCCCCTTGTTCACTCCAGCCCTGACCCCCAGGAGCTCTTTATATAGTGTGGAAATTGATCCCTCAACCTGTGATAATGAACTGCAAATATTTTCCCCCATTTATCAGGCAAGAACTTTACCCTCTTTGGGCCTCTGTTCCTTCATTTGTAAAATGAGGAGGTTGGGCTAGAATAACGCTACCTTCCCTGTCAGTTCAGAGTCTATGATCAGTACTTGAGTAAGCAAGAAGAGATTTTGCAACTGTAAGCATTCCGAACTACTGCCCAGCAGTGACGCATCTCTCAGAGCACCAGGGCACCAACACAGCTGGCTTCATGATTTTTCTTTTTTCTTTTTTTAATCAGATTGCTTGACTTTATTTTATTTATTTTCTGTGTGTGAGGAAGATCAGCCCTGAGCTAACATCCATGTCAATCCTCCTCTTTTTTTGCTGAGGAAAACTGGCCCTGGGCTAACATCTGTGCCCATCTTCCTCAGCTTTATATGGGACGCCGCCACAGCACGGCCTGATGAGCAGTGCATCTGTGAACGCCCGGGATCCGAACCTGCGCCGCCAGCAGCAGAGCACGCACACACCTGTGCACGCCTGGGATCCGAACCCAGGCCGCCAGCAGCAGAGCACGTGCACTTAACCGCTATGCCACGGGGCGGCCCCATGACTTTTCTTCAAGAGAGCTTAGGTTTGCATTTTTGGAGTAAAGCTTCATAACGCTCCAACCTCAGCTTCTACCCCTCTCCACCTTGGTCACTGTGCTCTGGCCACCTTTTCCTTCTTTCTTGAACACAGCAACCTCTTTCCCATCTCAAGGCCTTTGCACATGCTGGTCCTGATTCTTAAAATGCTCTTTCTGTAACAAGAGCTAGTTCCTTTTTGTTATTCTGGTCTCAGCTCCAGGGTCACTTCCTCCGAGTGGCCTTCCCTGACCAGCCACCTAACAGTGCCCATCCCACCCCCTCCCTTGTTGTCCTGTACCTACTTCACGTCCATTCCTGCTCTCCTCTCTGACTGAGAGTACCGTTAATTTGTTTTTGTTAATTTGTTCATGTCTCCTGTGATCAGAACACGAGCTCCTTCCTCCAGGAAGGCAGCAGGAACTAGCCTGTCTTTTTCAGTAGGAGCCTCAGGACCCAGACAGTGCCTGGTGCCTGTATAGAGGCAGAAGTTACACGCCTCCCAACAGCTCCATATAAAATCTCCATGTTCTTGGGGCCGGCCAGGTGGCGCAAGTGGTTAAGTGCGTGTGCTCTGCTGCGGCGGCCCGGGGTTCGCTGGTTCGGATCCCAGGCGCACACCGACGCACCACTTGGCAAGCCATGCTGTGGCAGTGTTCCAAATAAAGTAGAGGAAGCTGGGCGTGGATGTTAGCCCAGGGCCAGTCTTCTTCAGCAAAAAGAGGAGGATTGGCAGATGTTAGCTCAGGGCTGATCTTCCTCACAACAAAAAAAAACTCCACGTTCTTTGCTGCGTTTAGTTTCTCACACACATGCCACATTCCTGTATTTCAGTTTGGGCTGACATATCTTGGTGGGAACCGGGGACTCTGAGCTTTTTAATTAATAGCCTCAGAGAGAGAAAACATCCTCTGAAGCATAAGTTTATTTACTTGAATGCTTCATCTTCAAGCAGCATAGCCATTTAGACTGTTCTGAGATAGATTGGAAGGCCCAGGGGTTCTTTAAGATATCAGGTTAAAAATGAATCCAGGGCCTGCCCCGTGGCTTAGCGGTTAAGTGCGTGCGCTCCACTGCTGGCGGCCCAGGTTCGGATCCCGGGGGCGCACCGACGCACCACTTCTCTGGCCATGCTGAGGCCGCATCCCACATACAGCAACTAGAAGGCTGTGCAACTATGACATACAACTATCTACTGGGGCTTTGGGGGAAAAAAATAAATAAATAAAAATTAAAAAAAAAAAAAAAGAATCCAGATCCATGTTCAGAAACCCAGTTGTCAAATTGATATCCGAGCTGTATATGTCAACCCTTGTGTTCTTCTTCTGTAATCATAAAGATGTCTTACCACGTTATTTGTAAAAAGTTCTTGGAGCACCCGGTCTCCGAGGGCTCAGCACGCTCTCCTGTGGCCTCCAACCCTGGGGCTCCAATGAGGCTAATTCACGGTCAAATGCAGCTGTCACCACGCTCAGGGCTGCAGCCCAGCTGGCTGGGCCACCAACTTCTCTCCCAGTCTCATTTTTCCTTTGTGTGCTGTTACATCCGTTGACCAAAACATTTTAAAATTCCTGACTCTACCATTATGATGATTATTATTATAATTAAGTGTTAGACACTAAGCAGATCAGTGGTCTCCAGAGGCTGGAGGTGGGGGCGGGGATGGAGGACAAAGGGCAGAGGAGACTGTAGGCTGAGAGAACCATCTGTGTCTTGACCATGTGGTGATCACACATTGTACACAAACGCCACAATCCATCACCCTGTACACCTAAAATTGGTGAAGTTTATTATGTGTGTTATCCCTTAATAAACAAAAAAGAGGAAAAAACTTGTGCTAGAAAGATTGTGTTTCTATACAAAGTAGGCATTTAATAAATGAAAAAAAGAATAATCATAACCACAGTTAAAATATAGCTTAATAATAATATTTTTAGGTGGGCCTGGTTTCTCTCTGAAAATGTGTAATATTTTCAAATAGCTTTAAATTAGATTTTGAGAAGAACAAGGCTGTTCTCACTAAAATTTCTCCTCTCAGTTCTTCTCTCCTGCTTTCAGCCAGGTCAATACCCCAAATAATTCTGTGTATAGGACTATCTATTCTATTATTAATGACAGCCAAAGAAAAATATATAATCTATTTTAGAAATTCATTTTTTTTCTTTTAGAATCTTTGAAATCATATGGTCATTCAACAAACATTTTCTGGGTTCATAATATTTTCCAGGGACCATACTTGGTACGAATGATTTAATGACAAAAACAGCCGGAGTCCCTGCCCCCAGGGAGGTAATGGTCTAGACCAGGGGTTTCTAAACGGTCTGTGGAGGGCTTTAAAAATGATGAAGCCCCAAGTCCCAGAATGCCCAACATGGGACCTGGGACTCTGTATTGGAAACACTTTTTTTGTATAGTGGGAAGTAGGGATTCACTTTTATTTTTCTTTCCATATGGAAAGCCAACAGTCCCAAGTCTAGTAATTGAATATGCCAATTCTTCCTTCCTGAATCACTAATGCTACCTCTGTTGTTTATATTTTTTATTTTGAGTCTAAATAACCCAGATTTTCATCTAAACTAATTTTGCAAACAAAGAAGATGAAGTCTTGTAAGGGTTGAATGACTCACTCCGGCTGTACTTTTAACGTCTTACGGAGTTTCTTTGCTCTGACTTGGAGATGAGCAACCCAGCACGTTCTCCTGCTCAGCCATAGTTGGCACCACTCCTTCAGTGCCCCAGACCAGAGAACTTGG